GATCAGGTGGATCCACTACCGCCAAGGATAAAGTGGATGATTAAAAAGATGGTCAGGTGGAGTATACTGCCCACGAATTGCATTCCTAACAGTTGCATTATCAAAATACCGCACGTACTTCAGCCAGATCAAGAGCTGGAGGAGCTGCTACCGTATGAGCTATGAGAGGGTTGTACCTCTAAGTACATGCAAAGGGAACTCTATCCTGAAGCATGGCTTAGAAGGTCTACTCGATCAGAAGCTCGTCACAATAGGAACAATTAGAGGATTTCTTTCTGCTTGAATACATTACAACAAATATGATATGTATCAAAGATACACAACCTATGATGTGTACTTGGCATGAGATATTTTGGATGCACTTTGATGAAATCAGCATATTGTACTTTTTGAGTCGTTGGCCTACTTTTGAGCGTGTGATCAAAATAAGAATCCACTGGAAGTTTTGCCAGACATTTGAGAGTCCTTCATACATTTGTATCCAAAATTGTTATAGATGTTTTGTTTTTGCCTTAGCAGATCATCTCAATAACTAATATTTTTCAGGAATCTTTGTTAAATTTAACGCATTAAGAATGCATAGAGAGTGAGTGCAAAGCAACTCTATCATTTCAAATTTCTTGCAACTGCAGGTTATCTCGTAATTAACCCTGTCAAATATAACAATCCAGGCTCTACTCATTTCCCGATTATCCAAATTCCTAACATAGAATTCAGATGGACTATCAACTGAGAAATCAACAGTTAATCCACATCAACAGTTAATCCACATAGCCCTCCACATAGCCCGTGCAATAACTCTTTCTCAAACATGGAGTAGAGCTTCCGGGTGTAATATATAGCAGCTTGCCTCAACACTGGGCTTGTGTTAACCACTGATGTAATAACATTCTGAGAGCTTTTGAAGTCTTCATCCTTCTCGTTCCTTCTCTAAGATTTCATAATATTTTTAAGACCCAGAAAGCAGACATTAAGAAAACTAGTGGGCTTAGATGCACCATGACATACATTATTTGCAGACTCACTTCCTTTTGTAGACAATATTCCCATTCTGAATATTTTTTTTAAATGTTGTTGACCATTTATGTCTTATATGGTACAATATGAATATTTTTTTTTAAATGTTTGTTGACCTCACTTTTGATTGAGGTCTAGAAAACTTCTTTAGTAGCCTAGGTCTAGCCATAGGACTTTCCTATTGACTAGTCTTAGAACGCTCTTGTATGTCAAACCGCAATGAACTTTCGACAAAAATTTCTTATAGATGGCATAGTCTATGTCTTGTGAGTGGAAGACAATCATCAATGGCTCTTGACATCGCTTGATCCTGATCTATAAAAATTGTAATTGGATGCTTATCATCATTATTCGAATGAATGTCTTCATTAATCACTTGAAGGACTCTATCATCTCGTCAGATAAAAAACCAAATCCGAGGAGAACGTCTTGCCGATGGTGGTTAATCCCTACAGAAGGAGTACAACATAAATTATACTTATTCAAACAGTAGCTAGTCTCAAAAATGACGACATCCCCAAAACAATCATAATCAAGCCTACAAGAACCATCACTCCAGAAAAAGCTTGTAAGTCTACCCTCCACCTACAAGAACCATCACTCTAGAAAAAGTTTGTAAGTTTACCCTCCTCATCACTTTGAAATTCCCATGCAAACATGTTATCCTCAGTTTTTTGCTCCATGAATAATTGTAAGAGAGAGTGGACATCACCTTGTTCAATTCTACTTCTTCTTTCTCTTTGAATAAAGAGGTAGGTGTCTTGCCTCGTACACTCCAAGTTTTCAACTCCCTCAACCTCTATAGTAAAGAAAATTAAATGCGTCCACTATTCTAATCCCTAAACATGTCATTGATCTCAGCAAATCTACATTTAACTCACTAATCTTCTGACTGGAACGTAGATGGTTCTTGTCACCGGATTCCGTCAAGGGGTGGTTATGAGTTTCGACAAATTTCTTTATTGTCCAGTTGCCATCAATATCAATAGCATAGCGAACAATTGCTTGACAGCCAGTCATTGTATCTGTTGTTCTGTACTTCACCGTTTTGGCAACCTGTGATTCTCTCTTATGACCTGCTTTTCCACAAATATAATCCTTCGACTTATTTGCTTGGATTTAGCCCAGTAACTATTGTGGTCCTTGCGGACAATGAAACCAACATGATGTTCATAAGCGCAATAGTGTTCGTAAGTCTCTACCTCATTATGTACAATATTATTAAGAAAACTATGAAAAATTGGATCATTGCAATCATTTCCTGGCCCAGATAACCACAAATTTGAATTATATCACAGAGATAGTCAGATATGCAGATAACAAGGATTTTTTAGGTTATTCTTAAGTTATTGTTGGGTTATTATCGGGTTATTAGGTATTTATTCAACAATAACTCACAAATAATCCCAAAATAACATGATAATAACCCTCAAATAAGTGTAAAATTAAATGGAAATAACCTTACAATAACCTCAAAATAAGCCCAATATATGCAAATAAGAAGGATTTTCTTTAGGTTATTATTGGATTATTGTTGGGTTATTATCGGGTTATTATGTATTTCTTCAACAATAACCCGCAAATAATCCCAAAATAACATGATAATAACCCTCAAATAAGTGTAAAAGTAGATAAAAATAACCCTAAAATAACCTCAAAATAACCCCAATATATGCAGAAAATAATGAATTTTTTTTAGGTTATTCTTAGGTTATTGTTGGTTATTATCGGGTTATTAGGTATTTCTTCAACAATAACCCGCAAATAATCTCAAAATAATATGATAATAACCCTCAAATAAGTGTAAAAGTAAATGGAAATAACCCTGAAATAACCTCAAAATAACCCCAATATATGCAAATAAGAAGGATTTTTTTTAGGTTATTCTTGGGTTATTGTTGGGCTATTATCGTGTTTTAGGTATTTCTTCAACAATAACCTGCAAATAATCCCCAAATAACATGATAATAACCCTCAAATAAGCATAAAAGTAAATGGAAATAACCCTAAAATTTATTGTTAGGATATTCTCAATCATTGTTGGGTTATTCTCGGGTTATTGAGTATTTCGTCAAAATAACCCGCAGATAACTAAGCTCTAACCACAATAATCTAAAATTAAACTCACGATAATCCAAGAAAAAACTGGAAAACGGGTTCAGTTAAGGAGCTCTAACCACAATAATCCAAAATTAAACTCACGATAATCCAAGAAAAAACTGAAAAAAGGGTTCAGTTAAGCAAGAAATCTCACCTCTGTTCGAAACGCGTTGACATTGTTTTCGTAATCCATGCTCCATATTTCTTCATTAAAAGAGAAATCTATCTTCATCAAAGCAGCCAAAAAAATGCTTCTTGAAACTTTATTTTTTTACTGTAAATGGCATAATAGAAGTTTCTGAGGGACCGAGACGTACAAATCCAAAAAGGAGGGAAGATGCCGAAAAGACGGGATAATACAAAAAATGCAGATACTTGAAAGGCGCGGGGACATCGGGCCGGGTCAAACTTCAGCGCGACGTTATTATTATTATTTTTTCTTATTGTGTGGAAATGCAGGACCCGCATTTCCACGTGACCAAATTTAAATGGACTGCGAACGTAGAGAATCGTCCGGAGTCCCAATATTGGTTTGAATATTTTAGTTAATTTTATTTAATTCAATTGATGATGATTAAAAATTAATTCATGTTTTATCAATCTAAAAAGTAGACATCATAAATAATTACCTTATAATTAAATAAAAAAATTAAATTACATATTCATAATGTAATTTTAATTATTTTTTAGTTAATATAATAAGTATCTATTTAATTATTAATTTATATATGTTACACTGTTCCATAAGAATTAACTAGTTTCATAAAATTATTATTAATGATAGATTAGTCTAACAAAATTCTTATTAATTATCATAATTAAGAAAAAAATTATAATAAATTTAATTTGATTTAATAATTATATCATTAATAAATAATACTAATTTTATATTACGACTAGAAAATTTAAATCCTGAAATTAAATTACAATAATAACATAAAAAATTTAACCTAACGAGTATTATTGAAAAATTTACCTATTAAATTAATTAATTTTATTTGTGAGCAAAACAAATTATCTTAACTAAATAGTTAATCAGTGATTAATTATTAAATAAATGACTGATTAAATTTTTAATTCTTTAACTTTTAAATCCTCACAAAAATTGTCAAATTTTTTTATAGGATTTTATTGGGTTTAACAAATTCACACCATATAATTTCTGATGTTTAACCATCCCAGAATTTATTAAATATAAATTTATAAGATTTAACATGTCCTAATTAGGACTGTTAAAACGGTCATTGCTCGTGTTAGGCTCGTTAAGAAACTCGTGTTCGACTTGTTCGCTAAGTTAACGAGCTGAACACGAACAATAAAAACAAATATTTATTCGTTCGTGTTCGGCTAGTTTTGGCTCGAAATATCATTGCTCGTGTTAGGCTCGTTAAGAAACTCGTGTTCGACTTGTTCGCTAAGTTAACTAGCTGAACACGAACAATAAAAACAAATATTTGTTCGATCGTGTTCGGCTAGTTTTGGCTCGAAATATTACTATTCAATTATATATATATATATATATATCTTGATGAATAGTATTTCTACAAAAATTAATTGACTACAAGGATACAAAAATTTATAATCAATTAAAACTATTAATTAAGAAAATAGAATAAAAATTATTATATTTAATTCAAATGATGTTTTAAATCTTGCCTCAATCCTTAACATCTTATGACTGCGTGATTAGAGTTGTCAAAATGAATATTTGTCGGTGAACGACTCGTGTTCAACTCATTAAACAAACGAGCTGAAAGTAAATACTTTTTGAGCTCGAAATACGACCTAGGTTTACACCCCTAGTCCTAATAACTTCAATCGACAAAATTATCAACAGTCCCAAAATATGTAAATATTCAAGGTTACATTTGCAATTCCGAATTTCTCAGGTCAAGTCTAACCACTGCTCCCTTGACCAATCCCTCGGAGACTCCTAATCCCCGCCTCCAACTTTTCCATCATCCTCTCCGCCATCTCCTTTTTCTCTTCGATGTCAGAGTCGAGGGGACTCTGCAACTGCTGCGCCAAATTCCTCATCTCCGCCGGCCTCACCGCTCTCGTCTTATGGATCTCTTTCCGCTTCATCAAACCCCGCTACTACCTCGTCTCCTTCTCCCTCCCGACGGCCAACTCTTCTTCCCTCGTCGCCTCATTTCAGCTCGAGATCGAGAACAAGAATCGTCAAATCGGCATCTACCACGACGACATCGCCCTAGACCTCTTCGCCGGCCCCAATCTCTCTTCTCCACTCTCCCACTTCGTCGTCCCGGCTTTCTATCAAGGCCATCTCAAGACAGCTGAGAAGCCCGGTAACTTCAGCATCATCTCCGGCAGGAATCTGACGAAGTTCGCCGTAGAATCGGTGTTCCGAGTTTCGGCGAACTCGGCGTTCCGGTTCAAGGTGTTGGGATGGAAGAGTCGGCACCATGCTGTGAGCGTTGCCGGCGAGGTGGAGGTTGATTCAGACGGTAAGAAGACTGCTAAGAAAGGGATACGATTGTCGTCGTCCTGCACGGCGATAGTTCCCCCGGTGGTCCCAGGTTGTGTTTTCCTTTATGCGATGGTGTTATTGTGGTTATGATTGAAGATTGGACGATCGTGATTGATTAGCAGCCTGCTCCCACGCCATAGGTTAGAAGTAATTTTTTTGGTGGTCATTATGGCGGTGGTGGTGATATGTTGGTGTGTGAGCGGTAATTTATATTTTCACAAGTTAAATTTTTATTTTTGTTTGTGAATATTTATGTTGCTTAATTTTTTTTTTATGTTAATACTTAAAATATGATGATTTTTTTTAAGCTTGAAATATTCTCCTTAATTCGTATATTGACAAGTGATATTTCTGGTGTAATAGTAAACCTGGGAAAAGAATTTCTGTCATCAATTGGTGCAGCTTCAACTACAACATTTATGGCGAACTGATGTTATTGAAGCTTTCAACAATGACATTTTTGGCAAACTGATGCTATTACAACTCTTACTACGACCTCTATGACTAACTGGTGCTCTTGCAACAATTCACCACAATCTATGTGGTCTACTACTACTATAACTATCCACTACAACCTACGTGTCTAACTTTTGTCATTACACTCTTCCATTGTGGTCTCTACGATCAACTAATGCTATTGTAGCTACCAATCTTGATCTTTATGACCAACTACGATTATGTGGACAACTCTTACCATTTCTTCCAACAGTGCTCTCCATGGCCAACTGACATTACTACAATCTCTAACTATGGCCCTACGACTAACTGATGCTATTGCAAAAGCCCACAATGACCTATGTGATCAGTTACTATTGTAGCTACCCACTACAACCTACTTGGCTAGGTGTTATCATTACATCCTTCCACTACAACCACTATGATCAATTGACGTTGCTGCAGTCATTGATCACAGTCTGTATGACTAACTACTACTTTTATAACAACTAAACAAATCATTTGCAATATGCTATCACTAGTATTTGTGGCCCAGTTACAGTTATTAAAGAAAAATGACTATTATACACCTATAATTATTAGCAATGTAATTCCATCTTCTCTAATTTAGAAGAGGTATGTACACATGTACTTTTAATCATATAAAGAATTACTTTGATTGTGCCAAACCCTATAGTTTTCTCTCTTTTCAGAGGTTTTTCACGTAAAAAATTTTTGTAGCTCTTACTATTTTTTATTATCTTAGTGAGTATTAGATTTTCGTGGGATGCTAAGAAATTAAATAATCATTATACCACCACAAATATTTCGGCATGCAACAAGTATTTATTTAATTTTTTATGTGAATTTAAGTGCCATTTATGTAAATAAGAAGTTTAGATACATAAGAATTGTCTGGTGTGTATGTATATACCTCAATATTTTTGAAAATTTTGTAATTTCACTGCAATTATAATTTTACATAAGTATTTAAATAGATAGATTAATAAAAATAATTTTGTATAAAATAGATGATATTCGCTCAATATTTTATTCACTAATAAAAGGAGTATTCATATACAAACTACACAATTCGTAAATATTTTTATGCCAAATACTTACAACTTAATATTTACTTTATATTTCTAAAATCTTTAAGTTCACAAAAAAAATATAATTAAAATTTATTTTTTAAAAAGATGTATTACATTTCTATATTTGAATATGAGACTTTAAAGTATTGTATGAATGAATATTGAAATGCAGATAAACAAAATTAAACTCATAAGAATTAAGTAATTTTTTATTTTCTTCTTCTTTTTTTTTTTTTTTAGGTTCTTTGGTTTTTAAGCTAGATGCTTCCAAAAGTAATATCATATTCTCTGGTTATGTGGTTGTTCATGTATGTATACAAAAATATGTCAGCATAAATTTCAAAGTAAACAGACAGTTCAGAAGCAAGGTACTACCAATCGGAAAAACCGGACGTTAGCGAAGAAGGCATTTGGATAAAACGACCAAAAGAATGTGCCAGAGAGTTTCTCACAGTACAACGATTGGCTTTCAAACCGATCGACAAGTACCAATGGAGTCAATGCAAGAGAGCGGTCGACAAACTTCTTACCGACTGAATCAATTTGAAAGTCTTATTATATTTAAGTGTCTTTTTAATTAATAAAAATCCCTCTTTTAAGACTAATGAAGAGGGGATTGATTTGTAATTTTGTAGGACTGAGACATATTTCTATAAATAAGGTCCATATCCCAAATAAATGATCATGTACACTTTATTGGTTTCAAATATACTTTTCCTTACCTCCCCCCACTAAGACAATCTATACCTTGGGTGTGTTTCCTAGACACTTTAGAATTCAACATTCTTTAAGGTGCAGTTAGTATGGAAACATGTCGTCAACAAGAATAGGGAGAATCAAGTCAAAGAAATGTGGTGGAAGCAACATGCACTAAGAAGTTCATGGAGCATTTAACAAGGTTTGCAAGACTTGAGAGCCCAAATCACCAACCAGATGTCAGGACAGTTCATAGTGATGCTCAGAGCGATCACTTCCCTAGCAACGGCTCCACTCTAAGGAGAAGATCTAGCCCGACAAGAAGCACTCAAGCCCCCTCAATTGGAACGACTAGCAAACTACAGGAGATGAAAAATCCCCCTATAAGGGAAACCTGATGAAGGGATATATCAAGATAACGTCGGATCCACCTCAAGGAGAGGAATCAACCGGTGTGAACCAAGGTGCAGTGGCGGCTAGAGAATGCCTTCTCGCTCCAGGCATCAGGAGTAGGACCCCTAGAAAAGTTTAAAATGCCCGCCCTAAAGACATATAAAGATCGATCAGACCCAAACATCCACCTGGTGTCGTTTGAATCTTCCATAAGTCTATCAAAAATCTGTGATGCTACCAGTGGGGGTGAACACTTGTTTTGCTAAATTCAGGGGAATTTTTTTATTTCAGTTTGTCAGCGCTCTAATACCCAAAAAGAGCATCTGATCTCTATGGCAACTGAAACAAGAAGCTGATGAGAGCTTGTGATCATTTATTGCATGGTTCCCAAGAGAAAAATTGGATGTGAAAGTTTTGAATCATGACATGGCCTAGATTGCACTAACACAGGGAGTGAGGTCAGAGAGATTCCATTTTGACCTCGACCTCGCAAAACCATAGAGCTTGGTTAAGCTATTAGAGATGACCAAAAAGTATATTGCCTCTTATGAGAATGCCTAGAGGCCACCGAATGGAGACACCAGAAGAGGTTGCAATAAAACAAAAGAAGGCAACACAAATAAAGTATACAGCTGATCACCCGCCCATGCGATGAAAACCATCCCAACCATAACTCCGCTTAACGTCACGAGGATCAAAGGAGGCAAATGAAGAACCAACACCACCTCTCGTCCCACTACTATGAGCAAACTCGTTATAACCAGGAGCCACCCTCGCCCCAAACCCCCCTCCCTCCATTAAGGGTACCCATGGAAAAAATAGTGGACGTCATTGAAGATAAGAACTTTTTTAGGAAGGCACCACCGATGAGAATTGTAGCCTTTCTCCGAGATAGAAAGAAATACTGAAAGTACCGCAGAGATCACGGGCCCAATAAGAGGAATGCAGACACCTTCAGATCTTGATTAGAGAGTTGATAAAAGAAGGGAAGCTGAAAGAATTCATCGCCTCTAGGGTCACAACCCAAAGGTAGAGAAAAGCTTTGAGGAGGGTGGGAAGGGGGGAAGGGATGGGGAATGAACTGACCTACCTGTACAAATATCATCCACATCACATGATACATACCCACTATATTTGCAGGAAGTGAACCACCCAAAAGGATGAGCCAGAAAAGGCAACAAACAATGGAACTATGTATTGTGACCCTCGCCCTAAAACCAAGGGGCCATCCACCTATTTACTTCACCGATAAGGATATATCGTTGAAGATAAATCCTTACAATAATGCTATTATGACAACAATCATAATCAATAATTATCAAGTAGGTAGTGTTCTCATCGATACGAGGAGCTCAGTAAATATGCTTTTTAAATAGGTTTTTGACAAACTATGTCTTACTATCGATCGGATGACTATGTTAGTTGGACTACAATGAAGTTTCTCATGGGAAAGGAAGGAAGCGCAAGGGGTGATCGGGCTCCCGGAAAGCGAGGGGAAAAATTAGATGCAATTTACCCAAATGAAGGATTTCTTTGTGATGAATTCTTGATCTCGACTTTTATGACAGTACTACGAAATATGTTGTGGTTATATTCTCAATTTGTGTGGTTATATTCTCAATTTTGTTTACTTATATTTCTTATTTTACAACAGTGCTAAAAACTTGACTCTGAAGAAAATAAGAGTGCAACTATTATATTTAAATATTTGGATACTACACAAGTATATGTATCGTTATCAAGTAATATAGGACTTTTTGATAAAACCCCAAATATTTAACCCATAGGGAGAAAGACAATTTTTTTAAGAAGAAATTAGATAACAAATTCTAATTTGAAAAATATTCTTACTCAAACTATAGATGTTATAATAGAAGTGAAATTTTGATTCTTTTTAGTAATTTTTAATAATTGAAAATAAAGCAAACAACTAACTAAATTTAACTAGATTTTTGTAAGATGAAAGCAATATAAATAAAATATATTTCTCCTTATCATGAATCAGTAATAAGTATAAGAATTCTATTTTCGAAGTATTCAAATTATGTTCTGTCAAATAGGAGCAATATTATTCTTTACCCTTACTAGAGATGTTATAAAGAACATTAGCTAATTTATAGATTAAATAGTCCTGAAGACGGGCTAGGTAGAGAAGATACTAGCTCTCCCTCTAGAGTTTCCTCTTTTCCTTCCACCTGGGGGCAAACATCTCGTATCAAAATCTAAAACAATAAATTGAATTGGGGGCTTTAGCCTATCACTCTAAAATCCTTTAACTCTACACCCTTCAAAGTTTATTTGTCTATTTATTAGCACTCAACCATATGAATTACATTCTCATCCATACAATCTCATGCAATTCTTTCCATTAGTTGACTGAGACAATACCATCTTGGATCTTACATGTTCTCACAACAAATATTGATATCTTAATTGGCCAAATAATGAAGTAAATGAAGTACATTGATTAAAATCATCACAACTTATTCTAGTATTAATGACCAATACTTCACACAACTTCCATCAAATACTTAATTACTTATCATTTTAAGGAAAAAGATAAAGAAAAATACTCAAAAATTCATGGAGAAAACACAA